GAGGGTTCAGATCCCACATACAGACCAGTTTGCTCACTGGCTGAGCGTGGTGCTGGCAACACCAAGCCAAGGGTTGAAATCCCCTTACCGGTCATCTTAAAAAAAAAAAAAAAAAAAGATTCAGATCCAGATCAGAGTTTCTACACAACCCAGGTGCACCTGGTCTCTGAAGAGCTGGAACTACTTAAAAGGTCACTAAACCTTGACCTGCAAAACGTCTTCCCTAGGGAAATAGCAGCACAGCAGCAATTTAGCTCAACAACACAGCTCAAGTACCAGTCCTCACAGGAAGTTCCCCCATTTTAGAAGCAAAGGACAAAAACTTAGTTTTGGCCCAGGCACACTACCAGTGCCTTGGGGCCCATGAGGGGACTTGAGGCTTGGAGCCAGAGACAGACCCCCACCCATAACCAGGCACACTGCCAGCACCTCAGGGCCCCACCCAGGGGCCTGGGTTATGGAGCTGGGGACCAGACCCCCCAACCAGGCACACCACCAGCACCAAGGAGCATTCCAAAAACATCACCTCCATGTGAGTGGCCCACCGCAGCCACCTCAGTAACCACGGCTGCTACAAAAGTGGCTAGACTTCATAACAATCACGCAGATGGTCCACCAGCCACTGGACTGCATTGACACAAGAAGAGTCACCAGCAGAGACCAAAGAAAAGAATAGGATGTCTCTCTCCACAAAGCCCATTCCAGAATGACAGAAGAAGCATCTGCTCTATGATAATATTGGGGGACCTGAACACACCTGTCAGCATTGGACAGATGATCTAGGCAACAAATCAGCAGAGGAACCATTACTCTTTCAGAGGGAGAGAAGAAATCTAGGGTTATCAGTGGTGGGAGAGGGGAGGGACAGGGAGATAGGGAGAGATTGAACAAGGGGCATAAAGAATAAGTACAATTTGTAACAATATACATACTAGTAATATCGATTTGATCAACATATGTCAAAAATGAATCCCAAAAATATGTATAATCGATTATGATTCAATCAGCAAATAAATAAAGTAAGAAAGAATTAAAAAAAAAAAAAAAGCAGGAGCAAGAGACCAAATCATACCAATAAATTTACAGTTCTGCTCAGATGTAGTGTAATTCACAACAGCTTACATTTAGTTGGCCAAAGCAACTCACATGGACAAACGTAATACTGGTGTGGGGATGTCTACTCCACCTACAGGAAGGCAAGCCTGTATTATACTTACCAAGGAAGGTGTGTATAATTAAGGAACAAGCATAACATCTACCACAGTTACATAATATTGTCTTTAACCAGAAGCTAAATACGGGTTAAGAGGTTAAATATAGATGCTAGATTAGCGATTCTGAATCACTACCATTCCCTTTGTGGAAGAAAAGTCTGGAACTACATTTCCCAGAATCCCCTACCCTGCACAATTTCAGGTTAAAGTTTACCAACAGAAGGAACTCACAAGATCTGGAAGATTTGGCTTGTGGTACGTTGCTCTCATCTCTGCCTCCATGGTCACATTGCTTCCTCTTCTCTCTCAAAACTCCCTCTGCTTCTTTCTTATGAGGGTACATGTGATTTTATGTAGGGCCTACTCAGAAAATCCAGGATAAATCCTCTAAAATCCTGAACTTAATCACATCTTTTTCCACATAATGTAATATTCAATTTCCACGGATAAGAATGTGGACATATCATTTTTGGAGCCACCATTTAACCCACAATACGCACTAATACTCATCAAAAACCTAACAAATAGCAAAACTGATTAATTTACTTTCTTTCTATTATCATGAGAGGTGTAAGGCAAGTCCCAGAAGAAGTTATTTTTATTTGAAAAATGCAACTATAGATGTAGTCAAAGAAGATTCAAGTAAA